TAGTGGTTTATTTACAAAGTTTGTATACATTGTCTTTCACACCAGATCTTTCCCATTTTATTGACCCACCCCCTCTACATCCATATTGTGCAACCCTTTGATTAATATCCTCCCTACCAGCCCCGCCCCCCATATCTGACCTTTACCATCTTTACAAAGAAGAACTCTCCTGCCAACAACATAAAATTAATTCCTTTGAGGTCAGACATGTCCCCTATGCTCCTGTACCTCTTTCTACTCATCCCCAAACTAATCTTAATGATTTGTTGTTTTTATTGTTATAGATTGTCTTCCAGTTGAGCACAACCAAAGCACAACATAGAGAGAGCTCAGTTGACCTAATGGACAGAAAGTGATGCTACCAAGCCAAAGGTGGGTGATTTTAATCTGCGTCCCTTAGGCCTACTTTTCGACATATCAGTGCTATACCACCTAGAAGAATGTTTGACCAAAACATTCTTCTAGGTGGTATAGCACTGATATGTCTATTTGCTGTACTGAGGTAACTCATAGTTGCTGTGATGCTGAACCCTGTGACTCTGATTTGCCAAATGCAATATTGGTTACCCATGGCAGACAGTAGTTGGTGGAGCTCCCGATTAAAACAAGCTTGGAAGTAGGAGTGGCATCCACTTCTGAAATAGCTTGCCTCTGAAAACCCTATGAACTTGGAGAAATGAAGAAAGCTATAAAGCGTTCAGGTCTTTTGTTCATAGGGTCGCTATGAGTCGCCTACGATTTGACGGCATTTAACAACAGCAACAACAACAACAACAACATATTCCAAGCAATGGAATAGCTGGGTCATATGGAATTTTTATGTTCAACTTTTTAAGGAAGCACCAAACTGCCTTCCAGAGTGGTTGGGTTGTACCATTTTACAATCCCAGCAACAATGTATATAAGAGTTCTTTTCTCACCACATCCTCTCCAACATTTATTACTTGCTGCCTTGTTAAACTTTGTTACTATTACTGGAGTGGGATGGTACCTCATTGTGATTTTGAGTTGCATCTTTTTTATTGCCAGTTATTTTGAGAATTTTTTCATGTTTTTGTTTACCATTCAGATATCTTCCTCTGTGAAAATTCTTTCCATGTCTTTTGCCCATTTTATAATTGAGTTATCTTGTGGAGGCCCAGGAATATTACATAAACTTTTATTATGAGACTCATGTCTGAGATGGTGTTACCAAATTGTTGTTCCCAGTTGGTAGGTTTTCTTTTCACCCTGTTGGAAAAAATTTTTGTGCACACTTGCATTTAATCTTTAGAAGGTCTCATTCATCCATTTTTTTCCTCTTCAGATTGTGTATTTCTGGCTGTATTTGGCAGTCCCTTTATACCATAGAGTAGGTTTTGAGGTCAGGGTAGGTTTTGAGGTAAGTGTTTTGCTTAATCGGAGTCTCTTGCCTCTCCAAATAAATTTGGTAATTTTCCTTTCAATCTCCTTGATAAATACATTTGGTATTTGGATTGGGATTGCATTGAACATGTAGATTGATTTTGGAAAGATTATCATTTTCATGATAAGGAGTCTTCCTATCTATGAACAGGGCTCATTTTCTGTTTATGTCTTTTATTATGTCTTGCAGAAATACTCTATAGTTTTCTTTGTATAGGTGTTCTGTATCTCTGGTTAGGTTCACTCCCAAGTATCTCAGTTTGTGGTTTGCTATTATAAATGGTATTGCTTGTGACAGTTGAAGCATCTCTTTGCCGATCTGGATGCCTTTTATTTCCTTCATGCTGCCCTAGCAAGCTTTTCTAATACAATATTGAATAGAAGCGGTGACAGTGGGCATCCTTGTCTGATCCGTGTTTTTGAAGAAAATCCTTCTCATCTTTCTCTATTGAGAATGATGTTGGCTCTTGGTTTTGCATATATACTTTTCACTGTTGAAAATTCTCTGTGTTGAGGAAGTTCCTTCTATTCCAATTTTGCTGGGTGTCTTTATCAGGAAGGAATGTTGAATTTTGTCAAATGCCATTTCTGCATCAAGTGCTAAGATCATAGCAAAATCTCTGTAAATGCTATCAAGGTCTCCTTTGCTACACGGTGAGTAGACTTCAATATATGTGGTGGCAATAGATGAGAGGCCAAGGGCGGGGAGGACCCATGGGCTAGGGTGGCAATGGAGGTGGTGACAGTGGTGTTGGTGGCCAAGGAGTATTCCCCAAGTGGAGATAGTAGAGGTGGAAGACAGCAGTGAGCTGGTGTTGGAAGTGTCCTAATCCTACATGTGAGCACTTGAACTTCTCTTGGAGGAATGAATGTAACCAGTGCAAGGCCCCTAAACCGGATAGCCCAGGACGGGGACCAGGAGGCTCTCATATGGGTGGTAACTATGGAGATGATCGTTGAGGTGGAAGAGGTGGTTATGATCAGGCCATGGTGGGGACTGTGGAGGCTTCAGCACACCACTGTCACCAAAGGATAAATCAACTCTAAAGAAACTCAACAAAGATGCAGAAGATCTAAACTATACAATCAGCCAACTCAACCTTGTGGATGTTTTTGGGGTACTGCACCCAACTAAAACTCAATTCAGTTTCTTCTCAAGTGCACATGGTACATTCTCCAGAAATACTCATATGTTAGGTCACAAAGCAAGCCTCAACAAATTAAAAATAATTGAAGTAAAACAAAGTATTTTCTCAGACCACAATGCAATAAAAATAGAAATTAACCATACGAGAGTAAAGTGGAAATGAATTAACTCTCTGCTAGAACATGATTGGGTTATAAAAGAAATAATGAAATAAAAAAGTTTCTTGAAACAAATGATAATGAAAATACAACATAACAAAACCTCTGGGACACAGCTAATGCAGTCCTCAGGGGGCAGTTCATAGCAGTAGGCACACACATAAAAAAGGAAGAAAGAAGAAGAAGCAATGATCTAATTCAACGTCTTCATCAAGTAGAAAAAGATAACAATCTAACCCGACAGCCTTTAGAAGAAATTATAAGGATAAGAGCTGAAATCAGTGGGATAGAAAACAGAAGAACAATTGAAACCATCAGTAAGACCAGAAGCGTGTTTTTCGGAATGGTCAAAAAAATTGGCAAACTTAACAAAAAAAAAAAAAAGATACATAACTTGATTAAGAAATAATAGTGGTGACATCACAACAGAACTAGAAGAAATGAAATAGATCATATCAGAATACTATGAAAAGCTATACTCTGATAAATTCGAAAGCCTAGAGGAAATGGACAAATTCCTTGAAACTCATGCCCTGCCCAGATTGACAAGAACAAATACAGAACACTTGAACAGACCCATCACAAGAGAAGAAATTGAAAAGGTCATTAAAAGACTTCCCCATAAGAAAAGCCCTGGACCAGATAGCTTCACAGCTAAATTCTAATCATTCAGAGAGGGTTTAGCACCCATTCTACTTAAATTATTTCAAAAAATTGAAAAAGAAGGAACATTTCCAGAAAAATTGAAAAAGAAGGGAACACTTCCAGTCATTCTGTGAAGCAAGCATAACCCCAATACCAAAACCAGACAAAGATATTACCAAGAAAGAAAACTACAGACTAAAATCTTAAGCAATAGAATCCAAAAGCACATGAAAAAAATAATTCACCATGACCAAGAGGGATTCCTAACAGGAACCAAGCAAGGATGGTTCGATATAAGAAAAACAACCAATGTAATTTACTGTATTAACAGAGTAAATAACAAGAACCATATGGTCTTAGCAGTTAGTTTGCTTTTTAAAAAATTTTTATTATTTGTGTGTGTGTGTGTGTGTGTGTGTACCATCAAATCTGATCTGACTAGTACAGGAGGAGAATACCCCTCCTTCTCCAGCAGAGCATCTGATGGATTCAAACTGCTTACCTCTGAGATTGCAGTGCAGCTTCTTGCCACTAGGCCACCAGAGGTTCCTTTTAGTTTGCTTTTATAGATAAATTTTTCTTCTCCGAAACTACTTTCTGTATTCTTTCTTTTCGGTTTTGCAAAATTTTATTATGATATATCTTACTGTTTATTCTTGCTTGTGCTTCATTCAGGTTCCTGATTACCTAGTTCTTAATTTTTGCTTCTTCCTATTCTAGAATTCCAAATCAAATAGGAGTTATTCCTTATGCTATTTTCCTACATAACTCTTTTTTTCCCTTCAGGTTTTTATTGGGGTTCTGGGGGGGCCATCCTCGGAGGTGCTCACAGTTTCTTCAGCCACTCCAGGCTGGGACTCTGGGGGTCCTGGGGGTGGCTGGACACATCAGACATGTTCCCATCATCTTGGAGGGGCATTGTGTAGCTGTAGGGAGTGAGCTCGTTGATCATGGAGGCATACTTAGTGTAGGGGCTTAATGAGGGTAGAATTACAGTGAGACCCGTGATGGTGAAGGACACGACCAGCACCGATTCCTTAGTCCAGGCATTCTTGAGGAAGGCTGAGAGTCTAGTCATCATGGTGGCCTCGGTGGTGGCAGCAGCTGCAGCCCATTTTCCTACATAATTCTTATGCTTTCAGCATTTTTCTTCCTTTTTTCTGATTGTTCCTCTAACAAGTTAGCATTAAAAGATTTGCTCACTGCCTTATTAATTTTGTGTTCCATTGTGTCATTTCTACTGTTTTGTCCTTATAACATGCTGTTTCTCAAATAGTACTCTTCTGAATTTCAATTGCCCTAATGAACATCATTTTTGGTACCACCACTGTGAGTAAAGTCTGTGAGTCAACAGTGAATAAACAAACCTCTTGCTGCTGGTCTGGCTCCAGAGGCACCATGGAACTGGGCTATGGGCTCTTTATCTGCATTCTGCTCTGGGAAATTGAGGGCCTTTGCTGTTCTCACCCCTTCTGGCCTTTTCAGAAAGATGCTCATGGTCCTGTGCCCCCATGTCCAGTTTTCTGCACGCTAAATAGTAAGTATATTACTGAATCTAATTGTCCAGTTTAGTCAAATGGAAGGTAAAGATAAATATGCAAAAATCAGCCACATTTATCTACAGTAACAAAGAGAAATTGGATAAGGAAATAAGAGAAATGATACCATTTACAGTTGTTGTTCTTGTTGTGTACCATAGAGTCAGAATCAATCCTGGCTGACCCTCAGTGGGTTTTCAGAGACAATTAATCACATAGAAGCAGGTTGCCCATCCTTTTCCCACGGAGCAGCTGGAGGCCTCAAACTGTGTGCCTTCAGAATTGCACCACAGCTTCTTGCTACTAGGCCATAATGACTATCCAAAAATTGAAATAGTCCGTTTTAAAAGATCCAAAAGATTTCAGAGATTCAGAAGACTTTTACAAAGAAAACTGTAAAACACTGTTAAAACCCAGAGAGACCAACATAAATGGAAAAATATGCCATGCTCTTGGATTGGAAGGCTTAACATTGTGGATATAACAGTATTACCAAAAACAATCAATAAATACAATGTTCTCTCTGTCCAGATACTGTCATCAGATAGGGCAAAAGTAATCACTAACTCTATGGAAAGGAGAAAGATTTTGAATAAGCACAGAGATGCCAAAGAAGAAAAACAAAGTAGGACTCACACTTACAGATCTCAAAACCTACCATACAGCCTTCGTCAGCACATACACATACTACTGGTACCATGACAGGTACATTAACCAATGAAATAAAATTGAGAATGTAGAAATAAATCCATCTACCTACAGTCAATTGATTTTTGACAAAGAGATGAAATCCATTAAGTGGGGAAGAGACTATCTCTTTAAAATTAAAATAGCAAAATAGATGTCTATTTGTGAAAAATTGAAACTAGACCTGTACCTCACACCATATACAATCAAGATGGATCAGGGATCTATGTGTAAAACCTAAAACTATAAAGATCATAAAGTTGAGGCAAACCTAGGAGCCCTACTCTATGGCTTAAATAGTTTATAAATACAGCTGATGTACAGCCAACACGGGATAAGTTAGATGATTGAAACCTTCTGGAAAAAAATGAAATCCTTATAGGTATCAAAAGACATCTAGTGCAACAATGAATGAATGAAACCCCCCCCCCCTCCAAAAAGACATCTAAAAAAAAGAGTAAAAGAAATTAGCAAATTAGGAAAAAATATTTGACATGACTTCTTCTGACAAAGGACACATCTCTAAAGTTTGTAGTAAACTCCCATCACCTCAATACAAAAAAGATAATGCAATTATAAAATGAACAGAGGACAAGGATAGACACTTCACAAAAGAAGACAGTAAAATGACCAATATGTGACTTCATATGGGTTCAACGTATGCAGTAATTTTCAAATTATTGCATGCCATCGAGTGAGAACCCACCCATACCTGATCCTCTAGCAGGTTTTCAGAGGCAATAAATTGCATGGGAGAAGACTGACCATCCTTCTCCTGTGGAGCCGGTAATGGATTCGAACCATGTGCCTTCGAGATTTCAGCACAGCTTGTTACCACTTGGCTATCAGAGCTCCTTGGAGACTCCCAAATCAAAACAATAGTGAATGATCATCACATGCTAAAAATATATATATAATGCTCAATAAGACATCAAACAGCAAATGCTAGGAAGGGTTTAGAAGGTTTGGAACACTCCTACATTGCTACTGCAAAATATTGCAGCCACTATCAAAAGCAGTTTTGCACTTTCTTTGAAAGTTGAAATAATACCATTTGACTCCCAAATCCCATTATTAAGTATATATCCCAAAGAAATAAGGACTACAGCTAGGAAATAATAAAATAGATGAATGGGACCTTCTTAGAATCAAATCCCAGTGCACATAAAAAACTTCTCCAGTGGGGTAAAATGGAAACCTACAGACTAGGGAAAAAAATTTGGTAATGACATAACTGATGAGGGACTCATATCTAAAATTTATAGAATACTCCACCTTAAAAAGTAAAAGGTAAACAACCCAATTGCAAAATGGGCATAGGATATGAACAGACACTTTACCAAAGAAGACACTCAGATAGCAAACAAATACATGAAGAAATGTTCAAAATTCCTACTATCAGAGAGATGCAAATAAAAACAACTATGAGATAATCATCTTACCCCTCAGTAACAATAGCAAAGTACAACAGAGCAGTAAACAACAAATGCTGATGAGGTTGTGGAGAAATTGGAACTCTTATTCATTGCTGGTTGAGAATGTAAAATGAAGGTGGTCTGACACTTTCTCAAAAAGTTGGAAATAGAAATACCATTTGACCTAGCAATTCCACTACTGTGAATATATCATAAAGAAACCAGAACTGCAGGTCAATCAGATGTATATACACCCATGTTGATTGATGTGTTATTCACAATAGCAAAGAGATGGAAGCAACCCAAGTGACCATCAGCAAAGAAATTGATAGAAATACTATGGTACAGTGGAATACCACACAGCGTTGAAAAACAGTGAACTTGTAAAACATTGCACAACATGTGAGCTTGGAAGACATTATTTTGAATAAAATAATCACTCAGACAAATATTTTAGTCACTCGGTAAAAAAGACAAATACTGTATAACACAACTGCTGTTAAGTAGTACTGAAATGGAAGCTTTGGAAGAAAATAGAAAAAAGTGGGTAAATAATGAATACTACATTGGAACAGATGAGAAGAACTGTCTGAAAAGAATTGTCTGACAGCAATCTGGAACAAGAGATGCATTGTATAGTGGACTTAGGAGAGGGAGGGAGAATGTGCAACAGTTAGTGAATAAAAAGATGGTTTCCTTTTGCTAGGAAAAAAAAACCTAAGAACTGTAACAAACTGACATATGCAGACCTATGTTTATTTACTACTGTTTTCAGTAACAAAGAGTTGGAAACAACCCAAGTTTTCATCAGTAGACAAAGGATTAAAGAGCACAACGAGGCATTATGCATCACTAAAAAATGATAAAAATGTGTGAAAAATACTGCACAACATGGTCATAACTAGGAAAACGTATACTGAGTGACAAGTCAGTCACACAAGGACAATTATAGTATAGACAACTAGAATAAAAGTTAAGAAATGTTTTATACACAAAACCAGTCTTGCAGAGTAAAGAGATTAAAAGGGGGAAAGATGAGAAAAACAATTTAAAAGTATGAAAAATGGAGGAACTTTGGAAGAAGTGAACTGAACACTCTTTTCACTGCTGTGGTGGGTAGCCTGGGCTAGTGGGCCTGCCAGACCCCAGGAGATTGTTGCTGTGGTTGTCCAGTGAGGTTAGTTGTTGCTTTTCTGAGAGGTTACAGGGCCCCTGAATGTGAGCCAGCCTTGGACAGCTTTTCTGTCTGTCCAGTGGATTTTGAAGATGGACCATCTGGCTTTGACAGAGTGCTCACTTTAACAGACCCCAGGCTAATCTACTTAATCTGGGGGGTGGTGTCTTTGCAAGTACAGAGTGTGAATGCAGGCAAGGTACCCAGTTAGATATGGCCAGTGTGAAGAATCAATCACTGATAATTTAAGATGCCCAAGGATGGTGCACTAATCTATATATTGGCTGCAGGCCAGGCACAGCATAGTCTGCTAGCTCACAGAAGGAATGTGAATGTAGTACTGTGTGTGTGCCTGGCCTCAGGCAGAGCTGGTACAGGGTTGGGAGAATTCTTTCAATCACTTGGTAGGTGATGATGGTGGTGGGACTCATGGTGGTGGGACAGTTCTTTCCCTGATCCCCAGGAGGGGGGTACAGGGAACAAGTGGAGAAATAACCTTTTCTGTTTTAAGCAAGCTACTTGATGTGGATACTGTTATATTTTGACTTTTTTACCAGCCAAAGAGTTGTCTAAAATGGTAGCACCATGGTTTACACTTCTGTGCTCTGTTTGCCTCCATAATGACAGTTTTCATGAAACTTCTACAGTTAGTATTTGAATTGCATCTTTACATTTTTCTTTTAAATTCAGAATTCCAGAATTATTACTAGTATGTCCTATCTAGTGTTTTAGTTGAAGAGTCTCTTTTTTATTTGACTTTATTTTTGTCTGTGTACAAATGTATATTATTAAATGTTGATTTTGTATTTTTCCCCCTCCCACTTTTATATTTGCAGTGAATCCAAACAAGTCACATTTTTTTCATTTTGCTGGGAACAGGAAGCATGAGGCTGAAGATAACTCTTTTGAAAGAACCAAAACATATCCTTTTATTACTTTCTTCTTTTTGGTATTGTAGTTGGAGATAGGATTTTTTTTTTACATAGCAACTTGGTTTAAATTATTTTTTAAATATTTGAGTTTATATGTGATCAGATCTGAACTGTTTGCTCTAAATTTTATTTTCAAATTCTTATTGCAATTTTTCTTATTCACGTATTTATGTACAGATAAAATAATTTATATCTAGTGAAACCTCAAAAATTCATTCCTCTTCTGTTATTGATTTAGTGTGTACTGTCGAGTTGGAACTAACTCATAGCTGACCACAGAAGGAGATTTGCCCATCTATCTCCCACAGAGAAACTGGTGGACTTAAACCGCATGACTTTGTGATTACAGTGCAGCTTCTTGCCAGTAGGCCACCAGAGTTCCCTCTATGCCAGTTAACTCATAGCTGATGTTCTCGCAGCTTTTCAGAAGCTGTAAATCACACTGGAGGAGAATGCCTATCTTCCTCCTGTGTAGATAGCTGCTGGTGAGTTAGAACCATGAGAAAGCTGAGACTTTTGTGTTAACAGCACAGCTCTCTGTGGACTGTGTCACCAGGGCTCCCTGCTTTTATCTAGTAGGGTATTCAAAACTGTGATAACATGAAGGGTAAACTGAGGAAATCTGAGCAGTCAGACATTTATTGTTTCACATGGGAAGGTGGAAACGATTATTTTCTCAAGTACATACTTCTGTGTTTTCTCACCAAGAGTTCTCAGCTGTCTAAACAGAAGTATGATTGGTCCCTCAAACGTCTTTCTTAATTCTGCATGTCTCTAAAGAGATGAACATGGAAATTGAAAGTAATCTTAGTGAAATTTTTATAGTAAATTGATGTTACCACAGTATCCAAATGGAAGAAAATTTTTGTAGTAATTAATTTTTATTCAGTTTCACAAAGTGTTGATTTTTATGGTGGGCTTGAAATAAAGAAAAATCTAGTCCTGAATTCAAACTTTAAAAGAGGCACCAATTTTGACATTTGATTGACCTTTTTGAACTCATATGTGTTCTCATTTGTATTCTTTTTTACTGCTCACATTATATAATAGGTGAAGTTATAATTCGCTTTGTTTCTCCTAAAATTTTTTTAGTTGATTACTAAAGTATGCTCTCTGGAGTTCTTGCAGTTTTGTAGATTTTTTTTTTTTTTTTTTTTCAGTTTTGTAGATTTTAACCGTGTCAATTGTCTCTTCCCTTCTCAAACAAAAACAATAATAATCCTTTTAGATTATCTTATTCTGGCAATTCTCTCATTTCTCCTGTAATTCTAGTTTGCCTACTAGTTTAAAAATACAGTGACTAAAACTGCACTATATATTCCTGATGTGCACTTTCAGCAATTTATATAAATATGCCAGTATTTTTTGGTTGATGTGTGACTATTTTCTCCCTTCTTATGTTCTAATAATTACATTGGGACAGTCTTTTCAGGAAAGATATGATGTCATCAATTTATTTTCTTCAGATTGTACTTTATATTTTTAAATCCTATTTGTACAAATCTTATATTTTTCCTGTGGTAACTTTTTACCTTTTCAGTTATTTACTTAATCTATGATTCGATAGCCTGTGGTCCATATTTATTCCCGTTTCCTAGGAAGATGATCCAACAATATGTGTTAACTGTTGAACAATATCATTAATATCACATGCAAATAAAATACTGCTGAAGATTATTCAAAATGGCTAGAGAAGTATATAGGTAGGGAAGTGCCAGAAGTTCAAGCAGGATTTAGAAGAGTTCATGGCACCGGGAATATCATTGCTGATGTTAGATGGATCCTGGCTGAAAGTAAAGAATACCAGAAAAATATCTTTTTATACCTTTTTAACTATGCAAAGGCATTGAGAAGAATGTGAGTTCAAGAGCACTTAATTGTGCTCATGCAAAACCTATAGCTAAACCAGGAGGCTATTGTGTGAACAGAGTAAGGGAACACTGCTGTTGTTAATGTGCCGTTGAGTTATCTGTGACTCATAGCGACCCTCTGTATCCTTAGCCAACCTTATTGTCTCTGACACACATATCCATTTCCCCAGTCACTTAGTCAGTTCCTCTCATCAAGGATCTTCCTCTCTTCTGCTGTCACTCTACCCTCCCACGCATGATGTCCCTTTCCAAGGACAGGTCCCCTCTTGCAACATGCCCAAAGTATGTACATGGTTGAAAATGAAGAAGTGAGTATGTCAGGTTTGTATTCTCTCTCCATACCTATTGAATCTATATGCTGAATAAATTTCTTGAAAAGTTAGACTCTGTTAAGAGGAGTTTGACATCAGGATCAGAGAGAAACTCATCAATAACCTGTCTTATGTAGATGGCTCAACCTTGTTTGTTGAAAGTGAGGAGGATTTGAAGCAGTTGTAGAAGATCAAAGAATATAACCTTCAATATAGATTACATCTCAATGTCAAGAAAACAAAGATTCTTACCACTGGGCCAGTAGGCAACATCGTTATAGATGGAGAAAAGACTGACACTGTAAACAACTTCATCTTCCTTGGATATACAGTAAACAAATAAGGAAACATTGCACTGGGAAAATCTACAGTTAGGAACCTCTCCAAATTATTGAGGAGTAATGATGTCAGTTTGAGGACCAAGGTACAGCTGATTCAGACCATGGTCTTACCAAACACTTGGTATGCTACAGACAGCTAGATAATGAGTAAGGTTGATAGAAGAATTGATGTCTTTGAACTGTAGTGTTGGAGAAGAGTACTAAACATCCAATGGACTATTGACAAGATGAACAAATATTTCTTGGAGAGGATGCAGCCAGAGCGCTTTTTAGAGCTTCACCTCTCTTATTGTGGGCATGTTGTTATGAGGGCCTATTCCTTGGAGAGAGACGTGATGCTTGGAAAGGTGAAGGGTTGGCAAAGGAGAGGAAGACCCTCAACCAGGTAGATTAATATATATTTATATATATATATATAGCTTCAATGGACTCTAATGTGTCAGGAAGTCACAGGATAGGATAGGGCTCAGATCTGTTGTTCACAGGGTCGTTATGGGTTGTATTTTGACTCAGTGGCACCTAATAACAATAATGTGATCCTTTAAAGTGTTGGGGAAAAAATCCTGCAGCATCCTGGAATAATTATGACACATTGTTTCAGTCTTTTTATTTAGAAAGAGTTTATTGACTACATACAGACCAGTTTCAGTACACATGACAAAGGAAGATCCTGCAAGACTTCTGAAATAACAGTAAGAGAACAAGCCTCACCAGGAATGATCTGGTAATATAAACATTTGGATTTAGGCAGGCAAAAACATGCTTTGTAAATGATGAACTGAAAATCCTTATGTAGATACCGTTCTGCTAGAGAAAGTAGCCTAAAAAAAAGAAAGTAGCCTGTACTGATGGAGAAAGAAAGGACTTCTTGAACTGTCGGTTGTTGCTGTTATGTGCTCTCCTGTCACCTGCGACTCATAGTGATTCTATGTACAACATATCTGAACCCTTTTCTATCTTGAGCAAACCTCATTATCTCTGACACACCTACCCGTTACCTTAGTCACTGAATCAATCCACATTATCTCGGGTCTTCCTCTCTTGCACTCTCCTCTCACCCTTCCAAACATGATGCCCTTCTTCAAGGACTGGTTCAGGAGGACAACATGCCCAATGTATGTGAGACATTCAAAATCCTTGCCTCAAGGAGCATCCTGGTTTTACCCTCTTCCAGGACAGACATGTTAGTTCTCCTAGCAGTTCATGGTATATGTTCAATACTCAGTACGGTACACAGCTCAGTGGCATCAATTCTTCTTCTCTCCCTCTTAGTCATTCATTGTCCAGCTTTCTAATACCTAGCAAATGATTGTAAAGACCATGGCCTGGCTCAGGCTGCCATCATTGCTCTTAAGTAGAGCAATGAAATGGAGTGGTTCCTGATAGCAGATTTTCCCAGTGCAATGTATCTTTTGATTTCATGGCTTCTGGTACCAAGAATGGTGATTGTGGAGCCAAGCAAGCTGAAGCTGCTAACAATTGCTTTCTCTTTTCTGTCCGAGCACCTCTACTTGCATAAAAATCATCTTGATAAAGTGGTAACTGAAAAAAAAAATGGGTTAGAGAAAGTAAACATTTCAGAATTCATGTTATCCAGTACTGTGTACCTTGTCATTGAGGTAAATGGTAACAGTTATTTTCAGAATTTAATGCATTAAGTTTGGTAGGATTTCAGTTTCAGCTGTTTTACTTAAGTTTTTTACCTTGTGGTTGCTATTTGCCATCAAGTCGACTATGACTCATAGTGACCCCATAAACAGCATATCTAAACCTTGTTCTATCCTGTACCACCCTAACAATCTCTAACATGCTTAAGCTCTTTGTTATCATTCTCTGTCAGTCCATGTTATCATTCTCTGTCAGTCGATTTTGTTGAGCTTCTTTCTCTTTTTCTCTGACCCTCCACCTTTCCCAGTATGTTGTCTTTTTCCAAGGACAGACCTCTCCTGACAACATTCCCAAAGTATGTGAGATGCCTCCCAGAAGCACGCTGGTTGCACTTTCTCCAAGACAGGCATGCTTTGCCTTTTAGCAGTCCACGGGACAGTCAGTACTCTTGTGCACCACAGCAATTCAAGGCATCAGTTTTTCTTTTGCCATCCTTTTTATTGTCCAACTTTCAGGTAACTTTTCATATGCATAGAAAGCAATTGAAAATACCATGGCTTGGCTTATGCATATTATAATGTGCCATATAATCAGATCTTTTACTGTTAGTTTTCAGTCTTTTGTTAATATTTGGGATTTTTATATTTAAAATAATACATACTTAATATACTATTTAGGTCACTCTGGTAGTATAGTCTGTAGTTAGTTTGACTTCTAACCCAAAGGCATATTACCTGTGGTTTGAAACCACCAGGTGGACAGTGGCCTCGATGAAATCTACAATCTCAGAAACCCAACAGAGGGTTGCTTTGCATTCAATCTGATTCAGTTGCAGTGATTTTATTGTAATAATTGATAATGTTGTTGTTATGTGCCGTCAAGTCACTTGTGACTCATAGCGACCATATGTACAAGAGCCCTAAACTCTGCTCTATCCTGTGCCAACCTCGCTGTCTCTGACACACCTACTCCCATTATCCCAGTCACTGAATCGATTCATCTCATCGAGGGTCTTCCTCTCCTGTGCTGTCCCTTCACCATCACAAACATGATGTCCCTCTGTAAAGACTGGTCCCTCCTTGCAACATGCCCAGAGCAAGTCAGATGAAGCTTCAGAATCCTTGCGTTCAAGGAAGGAGCAGCCTGGCTTCATCCTTTCCTGGATGAACTTGTTTATTCTCCTAGCAGTCCATGGTATATTCAGCATTCTTATCCAGCACCACAGCTCACAGGCATTAATTCTCTTTCTATCATTCCTTAGAGTAAGAGTTGTGTAACCCTGATGTGTCCACTTGCTGTACAGAGGTAACTTGTGGTTGCTGTGAAGCCAAACACTGTAACACTGATGAGTCAAATGCAAGAATGGTTACCCGTAGTGGACAGTGTTTGGTGAAGCTCCCTGATTAAAACATGCTTGGAAGCAGGAGTGGCATCCACTTCCACAATAGTTTGCCTCTGGAAACCCTATGAACTTGGAGAGAGGACTGAAGTTATACAGGAGGTGTCCAGGACTTTTCATTTATAGGGTTGCTATGAGTCGCCTGCGACTTGACAGCACTTCACAACAACAAATCATCCCTAGTCACTGTCCCGCGCACTGACACATAGCATGCAATTGTGAAGACTGTGGTCTGGATCAAGCACACCTTAAGTCTCCAGCCTGACGTTGCTGCTCTTCAGTAATCTGGAGAGGACAGCTGACTTTCCCAATGCAGTTTGTCTCTTGATTTCCTGGCTACTGGTACCAAGAGTGTTGATTGTGGAGCTAAACAAACCAAAACTGTTAACAATCTCAATCTTTTTACCGTCCTTAATGATCCTTCCAATTGGCCCAGTGGTGAGAATCTTTGTTTTTTTTGATGTTGAGCTTCAATTCATATTGAAGGCTGCAGTCCTTTACCTTCTGCAGCAAGCATTTCAGATCCTCCTCAGTTTCAGCAAGCAGGGTTGTGTCATCTGCATAACACAGATGATTGATGAATCTTCCTCCAATCCTGATGCCACATTCTTCTGCATATCACCCAGCATCCCGGATGATCTGTTTTGTATACAGATTGAAAATGCATGGAGACAAACTACATCCCTGACAGACACCCTTTCTGATTTTGAACCATATTGTGTCTCCTTCTTCTGTTCTGACTACTGCCTTGTGGTCCAAGTATAGGTTTCACATAAGCACAATCAAATGTTCTGGGATTCTCATTCTTCTCAGAGTAAACCACAGTTTGTTGTGATCCACCCTTTCAAGCTTGATGTCCTTCTCCAAGGACTGGTCTCTTCTGGCTACTTGCCCAAAGTAAGTGAGGCAGAGCTTCAAAATTCTAGCCTCCAAGGAGAGACTTGGTTTCACCTCTCCAAGACAGACCTATTTGTTTTCTTGGCAGTCCATGGTTCTATCGTGATCCTTAGTCGTTGTCCAGCTATGTGAAACATAATAAGTAATTGGGAAGACTATGGCCTGAATTAGGTGCACTTTAGTCTCTAGACTGACATTGTTGCTTTTCAGCACTTTGGAGAGGTCCCTGATAGCACATTTTCCCATTGCAATTTGTCTTTTGATTTCCTGCCTGTTGGTGCTCAGCAATCTGTAATTGTTAACAACCTCAATCTCTCCTCCTCCTATCCTGGTGCTGTTGATTAGCCCAGTCGTGAGAATCTTTGTCTTCTTGATGTTGAGCTTCAATCCGTAAGGAAGACTACAGTCTTTGACCTTCTGCAGCAAGTGATTCAGGTTTTCTTCAGTTTCAGCAAACAAGGTTGTGGCATATGCATATCATGGGTTGTTGATGAGTCTTCCTTTGATGTTGATGCCACATTTCTTATTGTAATCTGCATTTGCAAGTTTTTTTTATGAAGATTAAGACTTTTGTATGTTTTATATATCCTTAACATGGTCGACACATCAAGAGTTAGTAAGCTGTGTGGGCTGGACTACTGCTGAAGAACTGTATTCATGTGGTGACGATCATCAGATAGTGAAATGGAACTTGTTAACCAGTGAAACGAATCAAATGGTGAAGCTCCCTGATGATACTTACCCAATAGATCTTCACTGGTTTCCAAAAAGTTTAGGCATAAAGAAGCAGACTCAAGCAGAAAGTTTTGTCCTCACAAGCTCTGATGGTAAGTTTTCAATTAATGTTACATACTCATCTTTGTACTTAAAAGAACGTAATATGTTCATATTTAAAATACAAAATATGTTTGTATACTTTATCACTTTAGCTGCTTTACAAAAGTTATGGTTATAAAAAACTGGTAGCCTATCTACTGGCATGGAGAAAAATGAACTGAGTATTATGGAACTGAATCTGTACCTTTCAGTTCACTTTTACTGTGCTCACTAGCATTAAGCTGTCACTAGTTTTGATTTCTTATGTCTTCAAATTTATTTATAACAAAATGGCACTTAAAAATAATGGATATAATACAGCCTTGTTTAAGAAACAGTTTCTTAAATGTCGTTTTTAGTGTCTAGTATATTCTTATTTCCATTTAAAGAGTTGGAGATTTATTTCTTTTGATCATAACTATATAATTGGTAAATTGTCTGCCTACCTTTTTAAAAAATATTTTTAAATTTTATTTTATTAATTTTAATGAACATTTACAGAGATTTTGAATTTACATTCATTCGTTGTTGC